CTAGACCCCGAGGGCCCTGGCGAATTCCAGGAGGTTGTCGATCGAATAGGGCCCAACCTGGACGAACCGATACGAAGGAACCTTGGTGAGCTCATCCGGGAATATAAAGATGTCTTTAAGCTGAAGGGCGAACCGCTAGGCCGAACTGGCATTGCAGAACATCGGATACAAGCGACACTGGGCCCGTATAACTCAATGCCCGGAATATCCCCTGTTGTTATACGGAGGAGCTGAATCGGATGATAGAGATGCTGGCGAACAAAGTAAGCCAGCCGCATCAATAGTGTTTGTCGAATAGAAGGGTGGTCGACTCAGATTGTGCATAGACTACCGAGAACGGAATGAGTCAACTAAGAAAGAATGTTTTCTTTTACCGGTTATGGAAGATATTTTTGATGCCCTGTCAGGAGCAAAGCATTTTTCTCTACGCTTGACATGACACCAGGATACTGAGAAGTGAAGATAGAAGAAAAAGACTGCGTTCGTCTTCCCAAACGGGCTATACGAATTCCAAACACTGCTCTTCGGATTGACGAACGCCCCGACCATATTCCAACGGTTAATGTAGTCAGTATTCAGAGATCTCATTCCACACAGGTGCCTTGTGTATCTTGATGATGTGGTATTACACGGGAGAACGGAGGAAAAGCATTTGGCGAACTTGAAGGCCACATTTGACTGTCTCCGTAAAGTTGGCCGGAAGTTGAAACCCGGGAAATGTAACCTTTTCAGAAAAGAAATACAGTTTCTGGGCCACGTCATTTCAACTGATGGCATTCAGACTGATAATACAAGTTATCCACCCAACATTCTATGTTAGGGAAAACCTCCAACCCTCTGGCGTCCGCCTCCGAAAGCCTCAGTATGGTCGGGGGTGGGTGTCCAGGGTTGCGGCTGGTCACCCCCGTCTTTCATCTTGCGAAATGCTCCCGCACGACCAAGCGTCTCAAATAACCTCTTCTGAGGAAGCCCAACTCACTGCCTTCTCGTGGCGGAGGAGTTTTCGCATCATTCGGAGCTATAACCGGGTTGGTAGACCACTGGTAGTTCACTTAGGGGAGTTGGCCAAAAACCCTGATTCCAAACCAACCGAGAGGAGGCGTATGAACCAAACACACACCTTTGCGGTTGTATGTACCGGTTCGATTAAGTCTCAAGGTGTATTGGGCACCTTGGACGTTTGACCCCATCCAAAGGGTGTATGATCTGATGAACTGGACACCTGCCCCCAATGGATTGTGGTTTTCACACACCGCCCGCTACCTTGCGGGTCAGAAATTGACTAGACAAAAGCTCTGCTTTTGGATTCCTCAAGAGAACTCACCTGCCTTGGCCTGAGCAACCTGGCAGTATTCCACCCACAAACAAATCATGGAACGTTTCTTTTTTCATTACGATTATTGCACCATGCTTTGATTGACACAGTCTGGATTCAGACGTGTATGAAAATAATAATAATAGCTGGTATCCAGAGCTCTTTTAAAGGTTTGAACATTTGGCTGGTTGATCAATTCAGTTGGTAGTTTATTCCATTTATCCACTTCCCTATTGCTAAAGAAGCGTGATTGTAGATTCAGTCTAGAACGCTGTTTCATAAGTTCCAGCTTTTGACCACGCGTTCTGTTGTGTTTGTTATTTGTTCTGGTTCCGTATACTGTTACCCCCGTCGTTCTTTTTATTTTTCAGCCCATGTACCGATATTAACAGACGAGTAAAGCGTATTCTTCCGGTTTGTGCGTCCTTTCTTTAATCTCGACGGTGCTCGCTTGTTGTCGTCTGTAACAATTTACTCGTCTATTAATCGATGAACCGTTACTTCCGTCCTGAAAAATTTGACACGGATTTAAACGCTCCTGACGCTTTGAAACAGTAGATCTATTGGCTTCGAACGTTCAAAGCCTTCTTGAAACGCGTCCAGGCTGAAGATTCAGATGAGCTAGACATATTGATTAACTTCTTATCGCCAACTGTCTATGAACACGTATCAGACTGTAACACCTTCAACGACGCCATATCTACGTTCGTCCTAGGAGTGTAATTTTCGCTCCACACCTCCTTGCAACTTGTAAACAAGAATGTGACCAGAACGTGAATCACTTCGTCCAAAAGATCAAAACACTCTCGAAGGACTGCGACTTTCGTTCTGCATCTGCCGAAGAATACCGTAATGACGCTTTGCGTGATGCTTTTATTACCGGATTACTGTCCAATAATATTCGAACGCTACTTTTAGAGCAAGTGTCTCTCAACTTTCAAACCGCATGCAACACGGCGAGGTCGTTAGAATCTACTCAACAGCAGTCTCAGCCATATGGCTCCAAAAATCTGCCTTGTGCTTCATCAGCTTCGACGTCGTCGCCTGCACCTCTTGTTTCTACTGTGACGGTTAAATCCGAGCCGGTACTTTCCGCTGCGTCCGTAGAAACGTGCTACTTTTGTGGCCACTCGAAGCATCCACAAACAAAGTGTCCTGCCACAGGCGCTACTTGCAAAGCGTCTGGGAAAACGGGACATTTTAAACGTGTTTGCCGATCGACATCAACCGATTGGGCTGTTACTTCGACCATTGGACCCCTTCTGTCTTCCGCTTCAACAGTCTTTGCTCCCACCTGGTTATCGCGTGCTACAACTAAGATTTGTCAATGATATTGAGGTGCATGCCTTAGTCGACACTGGTACTTCTAGTAGTTACACCTCCCAGACAGTTGTCAACTCCCACAGGTTAGAGGTCCAACGATGCAACTCTTGAATTACCATGGCATCCCCATTCCTGTCATGTGATGTGCCCGGTTACTGCGCCGTAACAATTCGTTACCATGGAGCTAAATACAATAATGTTAGACTTTCTGTAATACGTAATCTGTGCGCTGACGCCCTTCTAGGTCACGACTTTCTTGGTCTACACAAAAAGGTGGAAATAACATTCGGTCTTAAATGGTACGCTATGGAAAAGCTATATCTCTGGCACCGAGGACTAGAGGTCTGCCGACCTCTCAATGCAAACCAGTCCTCCCAGATGCGTTACACTTTATTCTCTCATTGCTTTGCGTCGCCACCAACAATACACCTCACGAACGATTGTCTTCTTTCCCCCGGCGTTNAACGATTGTCTTCTTTCCCCCGGCGTTCGGGCAACGACTCCTCTATACCGACGTGGTTGACAACTCCAGGCCCGGTGCTGCTCAAACGAATGGATGTAACTTCGATGTACGACAAGTTAGTTGACGAAGTTGATCTCATTAGCTGTAGTCCAAATTATGCCCTCGTGAAATGCCCGCCGGCAGAGAAGAAAACGTTTCCATCCGACGCTTCGCCTCACCGGGTAATCTATTCGTCTCGAGACCCGAAACTTGTGACCTGCCAGACATTGAAACACATACGGTTAGAAACTTCTTCTCCTCCAAGATCGACAAACAACTCGCTGAATTGGGAGATTTTTTGACACTTTCGCAGCCCCGACACCTGTACCTGACACTGCATCAGAAATCTTACGACAACAACAAAGAACGAGACCTCACAACCTAAAAAACCAAAGAAGCTTAGTTACCTTCTGCTATTTCCCTTTTCCTCCCAAACAACTCATTAGTAATCTTTAGCGAAATTGTAAAGCGAACTTCCTTCTCTCGGTCGGGACGAATGTCGTGTTTTTTATTTGTTCTGTTTCCGTATACTGTTACCCCCGTCGTTCTTTTTATTTTTCAGCCCATGTACCGATATTAACAGACGAGTAAAGCGTATTCTTCCGGTTTGTGCGTCCTTTCTTTAATCTCGACGGTGCTCGCTTGTTGTCGTCTGTAACACGTTCCCTCGTGGGGATCCTCAACGAAGAGGGTCTCCGGATCCAACCCCAGAAACTTTTTTATCTTAAATACTTTTATGGGGTCTCCGTGCAACCTCCTTTTTTCTAGTTAAAAAAGACCGAGCGCACACAATCTCTCCTAGTATGATTTACCTCACATACCCGCAACCATCCTTGTTGCTACTCTCTGGACTTTCTCCTGACAGGTTTCGTCCTTTTCGTAGAAGGGCGACCAAGCTTGAACATAATATTCTCGTTGAGGCCTTACAATGGCTTTGAAGATAGCTTTAAGCACGTCTATCTTCCTACACGAAACTGGTGACCTTAATCGGAACATCTTGCCATATGCGCTGCAGCTTTACCTTGGGTACTTCAACTGTAATCTGCATCATCAATCCTCATTCATCATTGTGCAACGTAATGCAGTGAAGCAAACTTCACTCGTCGCTGCCAAACTCATATTGCATACAAGATATGTGAGAATGTTTAAGGAGGATAGGGATTGTACTTACTTTTATGGGCGGTGAACGAAAGCGAATCTCTATTGTCAACTCTCAGAATACACAGTCCAACTATGCATACATACTATTCCAAGCATTCTGGTCTGATAAGAAGTGACAGCAAGATCGCTATTGCTGTCGGTTCGCAGCCATGATCTTCAGTGTCTCCAACCATGCGGTTTTGGAGTTTTTGTACCCCAACCCGGAAGAAGAGATACACCTACCCTACCTAATCGCTCTGTGCATTTCTTCATGCTTCGTCTCCACGTCATCTAATGGCCTCCACGTGGCTTTCTCCAATCTGCATCAGCCACTGCGAATAAGGCGCGCTGCGGTAAGCGACCATTGCACGTACGCAAAACGTGTCCTAACCAACGGAGCCTACTGAGCTAGATTCGATGAAGTAGCGAGTTCTTGTCTGTTGTATTCCCAAACACCCGACGACTTACTTGTAAGTTACTAACCCGCTCACTTCATCCCACTTAGGCCAGACCACGTAAGCATCGATTCTCGAGAACCACTAGATGAAGGATGTCTTCTTTCCGCAAATTCCAGGTCTCACATCTATAAAGCAGAACTGAACAGTGTTACAGTATATGCGACTTTTCAACTTTAGTGAAACGTCACATCGCCGCCACAGGTGTTCAAATCCTACATACGCTGCTCGAGCCTTGGAAATGCGGACGTTTATCTCCTTCGATGTGCTATCGTCGTTGGTCACTCAGCTACCCAATTAGGAGAAGCAGTCAACTTCAGCTAATTTTTGACCGTTTAGTTTCAGAACAGAACTCGGTGACATTCAGTCTTGCAGCATCACTTCTCCTTTTGAAGTTGCAAAGCGCATGCCGAAAGGAGTTACAGAGCTTGAAAGTTTGTCAAGAGAGCTTTACTCATCCTCCATAGATTTTAACAGGCATACGATGTCATAAGCGTACTCTAAATCGCACAGCTTTTCTCTAGCTGCCCATTCAATACCGACGTTTTGGAGACCACCTAATGTGTTCTCCAGTATTTTGTCTATGACGAACACTGCTGCTAGTTACGAACGACCTACTCAGCCCACCGAATACCCTTTACGCTACCAGGGGTATGCGAGTAAAGTGAACTCATTATGTTCATGTACTTCTGCAGCATTCCTTTGCGAAGGAGCAAACCTATAAGAGCTTCACGATCAACTGAGTCGGAGGCTCATTTTAGGTCACGGGAAACGAAAACCTTTGGTCGACTGTGCAAATGGCGTAGCTCGAGGACTTGATCCAAGGTGAATATTTGATCAGTACAACCGCGGCCTGGTCGAAATCCTACTTGTTGTTCACAGATATTTGTCTCCCTAAACGTTATCAGACGTCGAAGTATGACGGAGGCTAGTAACTTGATGACGATAGGGATCCAACCTATTCCACAGCGATTTGCCAAGTCGTTGCGATATTCCTTCTTAAAAGTGAAACAGTCAGTGATTCGATCCAAGACGATGTAGTGCCCTCGTGTGCCCATACGTTACGCATTAAATTAGTAATGGAGTCTACAGGGTCATTGCCTTCCATCTTAAAAAATGTGGGAGGAAGCCCGTCCGGTTCTGCTGCTTTTGCTTTCTTCAGGGCTTGAATGCAAGATCGAAATTCTGCTGCAGTAGGAGGTTCATATTACACTCCCCGCGGAGCCTCAGCTACACAACAGGAGGTAGTCTGGTTAGCGCATGACCAGCTGAACTGTTCGTTGAAGTACTCCGCCAACCGGTCAAGCCGTTGTTCCCTATTGTGAATAGCTTGCCCACTTTTGTCGCAGATTGTTTCTTTAACTGTGGTTTGGCGACCTCCTGTATTGTGTATCAGTTGGAACAGTCTTTGACTTTTTCCTGATACATCTGCTAATTCCATTTCACTATCTATCGTTGCCCACCAGTTCTTGAGGCTTTTCTTGAGTTGATGTTGCGGACACCACCCACCCCTGCCTTGCTCCCGGGAGGTCGGTATTTGCTGCTTTTTCTCCATCAGTGCCACTGACCCATCAGATATCCAGTGCCTCAGGCAGGCTACAACTTCAGATCCACCAACAGCCTTCATTGCGTAGTGCA